ACTCCCATGATTGATCTATGTCATTTAGTTGTATGGGTAAATGTGACCATTGATGGATTTAGTCACGTTAAATATGACGAAAATCGTTTTGATCCTATATCAATATGACTAATGGATGAAATTGTTTGGTAATACCCATAATAATGATAGTAAATTTTGAGTTCATAAGGTTGTACACATTTGTAAGATTACACGTATGGTCCAGTGGGAGATTGTTGAAAAATTTCAACATATATGGGGCTACACGTAATATATTAAAATGGGTGGTGCTATTGTTTAAAGAATAATAGTCAATTAAAGTGATCTGTTAAAGTTAATTTTGACAATGGGTATAGGATTTCATGGAAATATAGTGTAGAGATCGGAATGTTGTTTTAAATTGATGAAAAACTAATTTGAAACAACTGAAGTTGTTATGATTATTTTTATTGGGTTATGGTCTCCAGTTGATAGTGTCTTTTCATTCTCTGCATTCCTATCAACAGAGTGAAAATTGAAGAGAAGGTCACGAATCAATTGGAAGATCACATCCCATTCAGGCAAATAATCAGACATCTATGAATCAAGGTATGTTTATACTTTATTCTTTTCTCTGATTTCAGCATGGGGTATATATTAAGTTTTATATGTGAAAAGTGTTTGATTAAAGCATATGGATTGATAATCATTTTCATGTTTTTTCTAACATAAATGACTTTCCAAGAGTCGAAGACATTAAACTTCTTACATTAAATTGAACTTTCTTAATCAATTTGTTATTTACACTGTAGGAGATCATTTAATCCTTGAACATCCAGTTTTACATTATCTTGTTTTTTCTGGAAAATGGACAAGATACCTCTCCATACAAGCAAAATTGGAACATCCAAAGAAACTAAATAGGCATGGCGTTATCATCAGCCAGACATTTGCTTCATTTCTGTAAAACGTGAGCTAGAATATTTTGATGAAAGCACCTGCAGTCTTAGCCCACAAAAGATGAAAAAATCACTCTCAATCCATAAGGAATGTGATGACCATAATAGCAGCGGCTGAAAATTATACAATGTTTTCTGCTGCCAATGCCACTTAATTTAACGAGGAATTGATCAACGAAGAGTTTAGAAGTACCGTGTTTTTTTTTTTTTTTTGGGGTAAAAAACAAGGGATAACTTGGTCCAGATTTCTCTAGTAAAAGATAGAAAAGGTTTGCCTTGTGAGCATGCCTCGTTTCTGTACCAACACATCTTATGAACTGTGTTGTGAGGTCTTTGCACCTGTATCTAGTTTTAAGAATAAATGTTCATGTGAATGCCGTCACCTTCAGAAGGTTCTTCAAAGTTCCATACGAAAGAATTCAGAGGGAAATGAAATGAAGTTTAGAAATGAAATAGGTAACTGAAAAAGAAAGATTTGCATTAGCATACGCCAGATCTATCAAGAACCCAAAAGTTTAATCGAGAAATGGAGATGGCTAGGGTGAAAGGAATGAAGTAAATCGTGTTAAAAGAGAAGATCCTCCATTAGCCAACGATTGAGATTGCCGGGAAAAAAAAAAAAGTAAAGCTAGATATATGTAATGAAGATAGACGGTGTAAACGGGGAAATAGGATGGAAAAGGAGGAATTATTTTCTTTTCGGGAATACTCCATAAACAAACAGTGCATGTCCTCTTTGATTAGATGATACCTAAGAGACAACTTCATTCTAACTGGAATTCCATAATACAATTCCCCACTAAAGAGATGTTTTAAAAACCAAATTAGCCAGATTGAATCCATCCTCACCTTTAACTTTCACTAATTATAAAAAATTATACTTCTAATCTTCTTCGGCACCTTTGTACAAAATCACAACATAATTTAAATCAAACTGTATTTTAAAATTCTACATAAACCATATCTTTATTTTTATCTTCAATTCCTCATCATTTCTCTCCTACCACAAAATAACTTGATTCCGACTTGTTAGGGTGTAATAATCCTCCAGAGGGCGCCCTTTTAGATGAACCACGTATCAGAGAAGACTCTCCGTTTTATTCTTGTGATGACCGGCCAAGTACGGTATTATCTTGAGACTTGAGAAGCATCTCTCTCTGTTGGAACACGTTTCCTTTATGCCCTAGAAATTTATGAGTAGGTAAATTCTATCCCTTTTGCTTACCAGGCTTATATGGGATAAGTTTTAGTTGATTTGAGGTTAGTTATGTCATTTTCGTTATTAGTCATCACACTATCCCAATTAGTTGCATCAATCACGCTGGGGATGGCATTACCCGTTTAAGGTGGGACGGGGCCCTTGTCCCGTTTACTACCTCGTTTAATTTTATTTTTTTAAGTTTTTGATAATTTATTTTTATTACCCATATTCGTTAGATTTAGACAAATAATTTTAGTTGTCATTTTTTATTAGAACTAATGAAATTTTGTGAAATTTTCCATTTAAAATATTGAATT